TTTTTATTTTTTCAGGCTTAAAGTTCCATATGAAAGGGAAAATGACCTTATTAACTTCTTTAGCAAAATCGGTGGGAGTATCAAGTACAGAGCAATTATAAACAAGTTTAGACAGTGCTAATGTTTTGACAATAGCAATTCGCCCCAGGATTGACAAGCGCCGACCTGACCAAAGATTTAACACCTTTTTCATTTTAACAAGCTGTTCATCAAAGTTGATTTTCTCTCCAACGTGCGTTTCACAAGCGAAAACTACGCCGAGGGAGGAGACGTATTGCTTCGGCCAAGAGATTCCAAAAGGCTCGTCTTTACCTAATCTGTTTTTCCACAATCCCAGCCACAACCCTTCAGTTTTCGACTTATTTATTCTCAGACCGGAGAGCGTACTGAATCGATCAAGCAAAGCGAAAAGGGCCACTGCAGACGAGTCGTCGTGAATAAAAGCAGTGGTATCATCGGCATTTAAGCGACTTTAGATTCTTTGTTTCCGTTCTTAAGACCTTTGATCGATTTGCTAGTTCTGATCTGAACAGCAAGAGGCTCTACGGCAAGAATAAAAAGCATCCCGGAAAGCGGGCACCCTTGTCTCACTCCCCTTTTTAGGGGGATGAATTCCGAAGCGTGTCCATTGTTTACAGTGCAGCTAGAGATATTATGATAAAATGTGTGGACCCAGTTACGAAAACTTGGGCCAAAGTTCATTTCCTCTAACACCCGGAAGAGGTAGTCCCATTCTAACGAGTCAAACGCTTTTTCAAAATCCAGAAAGAAAATCATTCCTTGGTCATTTTCATGTTGTTCGATAATATCAGAAATAAGACGGATGTTTTCGCCAATGAATCTGCCCTTAGTGTATCCTGTTTGATTACTTCCTATAAGGAGCGGAAGAACTTTCTCCAGCCGTTTAGCAATGCATTTAGTAGCAATTTTGTAATCTGTATTTAAAAGCGAAATGGGACGCCAATTTTTAAGACACAATAGGTCCTTATCCTTTTTTGGGATTAGCGAAATAATTCCTTGTCTCTGAGAAATGGAAAGTTCTCCTTGTAGAGCCCCGTGATTAAGACAGTCAATCAAAGGGCAAGAAATCTCCTTCCAAAAACAGAGATAGAATTCCGCTGTTAGACCGTCTGTTCCGGGGGTCTTGTTACGTTGAAAAGCTTTAATGGCAGATAAGCATTCTGCTTCAATAATCGAACCTTCACAAAGGTTTTGTGAGACATCGTCTAGTCTTGGTAAAGGTCCAGAATTAAGAAAGTCTGATAGCTGGTCAGAGGAGGTTTGGCCTTGGGAAGTATATAATTGTTGGTAGTAATACTTCATTTCATTCAAGATAGTTTTAGAGTCTTCTATTGCAGACCCTGCCGAGGATTTCAATTTTTTTATGTGTCTTTTGTTGTAACTTCTTTTCGAAAGGTTGAGAAAATATTTATTACTTTTTTTCTCCTGATTCATACCATCGAGCTCGGCTTCTGACAATACAACCTCTGGTTTTCTCCTCGGCCATTTGATCTAATTTAATTTTTATCTTTTTTGCCTCGTTCGCGAGAGGACTTCCTTCTGGAGCAGCATCAATTTGAGCATTTAGATCTTGGAGTTTTCGGAGAAGTTCGAATTCCATATCTCTTTTTTCCTTAGCTTTTCTTTCAGCAAATCGAATGGAGAAGATCCTTATTTCCATTTTTATCATTTCCCAAAAAAGCCTTTTGTCAGTAACTTCCCTGTACTTTTTGTTACGAAAACTTGTATTGCGTGACTAGCGTGACTTTCTAGAAGGTTCGCGAGAGTTCATAGCTTGTTTATTTTAGGTTCTTATGTAAGCGTTTCTAAAAGGGTATATTTTGTAATCTTTCTATAATTAGACTATTTAGAATGTTCTAGAACTTTATTGTAAAAGTATATAAGTAGGCTAGTTCGAGTTAAGTTTTAACTAGTTTTCACAAGCGAAGAGAGTTCGACGTTAGTCGTGTTTAGTCAAGTGTGACGAAAGCAGTGTTTATCCAAGTTGGCGGAGGCCGTGGAAGTTTATCAAGTTAATTCAAGTTGGCGGAGGCCGTGTAAGTTTATCGAGTTAATTGAAGTTGGCGGAGGCCGTGTAAGTTTAACGAGTTACGTGCTGTTGTGGAGTTTTACTCAGTGGAAACTACGTTCATTTTTGGAATAAATCTTCTTGTTGCTGTTCCGACAACCCTGCGTTCAGTTTAGTTTGCAAGCTACCCGTCCTCTAAAAGATTACCCGCGTAACATTGGGGGCCTGTCCTGGGAGAGGAATTCAATTGTTTGCCGACTACAGTAACCAGGAAAGGACAGTTCAAGAAGAAGGAGTTACAGTGCAAGTAAGAAGAACTGCTACGAGGAAGTATATCGAGTGTGTTTACTGTGAACTACTGCTATGGAAATGGAAAAGCTTTTGCAGATAGGCAAATAATTCGGATTGGAGGGAGAAAAGCTGCTCGAGCTTGTGCGGTAGCAACAAAAGTTAGACGAAGAAAGAAGGAGGGAAGAGGAAGAGAAAGAAGAAAAACGTAGACAATTGGAAGAGGAAAAAGAAGAAAAGCGTAGACTGTTGGAAGAACAAAAAGAGGAGAAACGTCGAATGCTTGAGGAAGATAGAAGAAAAGAAGACGAAGAAAGAGAAACTAGGCGGCAAGAACGCGAACTGAGAAAATTAGAGATGGAAGCCGAGCTGTTGAAACAGAAAGAGGCTATTGAAGCGGCAAAGAGGGAACACGAGTTGGAAATTGCACGTTTGGCTGCAGCAAGTGCTGGTGGACGTCCTGAAGTGAGAGAGGATAGGGCGAAGGCATCCAAGCTTCCCTCATTTGTTGATGGCAAGGACGACTTGGATGCTTATCTACAAAGATTTGAGAGATTTGCAGCGACAGCTAAATGGGAGAAGACAGGATGGGCTTCGAAACTTAGTGCTCTTTTGTCTGGTCGAGCGCTTGAAGTTTATTCGCGATTATCTGAGGAAGCAGCCCAAGATTATGACCGAGTGAAGTTAGCTTTGATGAAGAGATATGACCTTACGCCGGAGGATGGTTATCGTCGTAAATTTAGAGCATCAGAGCCAGAAGTTGACGAGAGTCCTGAACAGTTTATAGTGAGACTGGATAGATACTTGTTGCGTTGGTTACAGCTGTCAAAAACCGATCGTTCTTTTGAAGGCCTGAAAGATTTAATTGTGAAAGAGCAGTTTATTGACTCTTGTCCGAAGGAGTTAGCTATCCACCTACGAGAAAGAGCGCCGGAAACGCTTGTTCAGATAGCGAAGATCGCCGATCAATATTTGGAAGCGCATGGAAAGCACCTGTTTAGCTCTACGAACAAGAAGCCGCAAGTACAGCCTAAGGCGGAGGAAATAAAGACTGCTCAGAGTAACAGTGACACAACAGCGCTCCAGTGTTACAAGTGTAATGCCCGTGGACACAAAGCAATTAACTGTCCAACTCTAGCAAGAAAGTGCTTCTTATGTGGCAAGCAAGGGCACGAAGCTAGAAACTGTCGCTCAAACAAGCAGAAGTCAGGAGGACAAAATAAAGATGGTAACCCTGTGCAACGTGGTCAAGTTAGTGCTGGCTGTTTGGTTAAGCCACCCGATGTTAACGCTACTCCAGAGGAAGTCAAGTCGTGTATTGAAAATGATCAGCTCCTGTTAGCCTGTGGCAAGAAAGTCCCGTTGCTGAGCAATGCTTGTGTTGAACCCTTAACTGGAGTAAGATGCCTGTTGTAAAGGGTAGAGTTGGAGAGAAGACTGTTGACGTTTTAAGAGATACTGGTTGCAGTGGAGTTGTAGTCAAGAGGGATATTGTCGGCGAGGATCAGTTCACCGGAGACTTTAACGTTATGTTGCTTATTGACAACACTGCAAGGAAGGTGCCCATAGCAAGAATTTATGTTGATACGCCTTATCTTAAGGGCCACGTAGAAGCGCAGTGCCTTTCAGATCCTATATACGACCTTATTATTGGCAACGTACCTGATGCTAGGGACGTACAAAATCCAGATCCCAGTTGCAAGAGACCTGTGCCATGACTACAAGAAGTCAAGCTAAGAAAAAGGATGAACGCACAGCCTTGAAAGTACCAAGTAGCCGTGAGAGCCCTATCGTGGATAGAGAGAAGCTCAAGCAGATGCAGAGTGAAGATGAGAGTCTGCGCAAGTACTGGGATCGAGACGATATGCTAGTAAAGGGTCAGGCGGAAATTTCATTTGAAGAAAAATGTGGAGTACTGTACCGTCTGTACAAGCACCCTTATGTGAATGGTGGTAAACCGCTAAAACAAGTCATGGTACCTGAAAAGTTGAGGCGCCCCATAATGGAAGTAGCTCACCGATCGATCATGGGCTGTCACATGGGCATCAAGAAAACAACAGACAAGATCCAGAGTGCGTTTTATTGGTCTGGAATTCATGGTGACGTGACTCGATTTTGCAAGTCCTGCGACGTTTGTCAGAAGACCGTAAATAAGGGATCAGTGCCGAAGGTACCGCTAGAGAAGATGCCGCTGATTAACAAGCCCTTTAAGAGAGTAGCAATAGATCTTGTTGGTCCTATCAGTCCCCCGAGTGAAGAAGGACACAGATACATATTGACGCTTGTAGATTTTTCGACTCGCTACCCCGAGGCTGTACCACTAAAGAAGATTGATACAGAGACAGTAGCAGAAGCATTGGTGGATATTTTCAGTCGTCTAGGAGTACCCGAAGAGATTTTGAGTGAACTGGGCACACAGTTTGTTTCTGATTGTATGAGAGAAGTTACTCGACTATTAAGCATTAAGCAGCTTACGACCACGCCCTATCACCCGATGTGTAATGGTTTGACGGAGAAGTTTAACGGAACTATGAAGTCTATGCTGAAGAGACTGTGTAGCGAGCAGCCAAGACAGTGGCATCGCTACATAAATCCGCTGTTGTTCGCTTAACGTGAAGTCCCTCAAGAGTCCACTGGTTTTTCGCCGTTTGAGTTGTTATATGGTAGAGCTGTGAGAGGACCAATGGCTATACTCAAACAGCTGTGGACGAAAGAAGTCGAGGAACCTGAAGTAAAGAACAGTTACCAGTATGTTTTTGAGTTGCGAGAAAAGTTAGAAGATACCCTCAAACTCGCTCATTTTGAATTGGAGAAAGCTCAGCAGAAGGGAAAGCACTATTACGATCGCAAGTCCAAAGTGAGGAAGTTTCAGCCAGGCGAGAAAGTACTTGTGCTACTACCTACCGACCACAACAAGTTACTTATGCAGTGAAAAGGTCCCTTTGAAGTCAGTTCAGTGGTAGGTCTCAATGACTACTAGGTGAAAGTTAAAAGCAAGGAGAAAGTTTACCACGCTAACCTCCTCAAAAAGTATTTTGAGCGAGAAGCGACTACAGTCGAAGGAGCAGTAGCTGTTGGAGCAGGCGCTACGAGTATAGAGGATGCTGTCGACTGTGAAGCTAACGTTGATGAAGCAGAGGAAGAAGAGGCTGATTTCCTAGAGCTTGATGGCTATGTAGCCAAGGAATCAATTCAGGATGTTGCAACTGGACCGAATCTTACGGACGAGCAACGAACTGAATTTACGGATCTGGCTAAACAGTTCACGGATTTGTTCACTGAAGCACCAGGTACCACCGATCTCGTTCAGCATCATATTAAACTCACCTCAGACGAGCTAGTTAGATCAAGACCTTACCCAGTTCCTTACAGCATGAGGGAGTCGTTGAAGAAAGATATCGCCGATATGATCAAAATGGGAGTAACCTGAGAGACACCGGACTACCCCGTTGTATATTAGCTTACAATTTTTCTATTGTATTGGAAATTTAGGAAATTTCTTCTGAAAGGGGGTTATGTTACGAAAACTTGTATTGAGTGACTAGCGTGACTTTCTAGAAGGTTCGCGAGAGTTCATAGCTTGTTTATTTTAGGTTCTTATGTAAGCGTTTCTAAAAGCGGTATATTTTGTAATCTTTCTATAATTAGACTATTTAGAATGTTCTAGAACTCTATTGTGAAAGTATATAAGTAGGCCAGTTCGAGTTAAGTTTTAACTAGTTTTCACAAGCGAAGAGAGCTCGACGTTATTCGTGTTTAGTCAAGTGTGACGAAAGCAGTGTTTATCCGTGTAAGTTTATCGAGTTAATTGAAGTTGGCGGAGGCCGTGTAAGTTTAACGAGTTACGTGCTGTTGTGGAGTTTTACTCAGTGGAAACTACGTTCATTTTTGGAATAAATCTTCTTGTTGCTGTTCCGACAACCCTGCGTTCAGTTTAGTTTGCAAGCTACCCGTCCTCTAAAAGATTACCCGCGTAACACTTTTCCCTAGCATTTAGGATTAAAAACTTCAATTTTGTAACGAATTCTTCATTCTCAAGCAGAGAATTATTAAACTTCCAAAACCCTGGTCCTCTAGGTACGCCTTGATCTTCTGGTGTCAACGAGATGGTGACAGGCGAGTGATCTGAGTCATAATTAGCGCTGATATCCGTTTCAGCAACGCGTGTCAGTAATTGTTTCGAAATTAGCCAGAAATCTAGCCGACATTTAATCTTTCTTGAGCCATTTGCCCAAGAATAACGCTTCTTATTCGGGTGTTGAGTTCTCCAGACGTCGACTAAGTCAAAGCTGTTACAAAGTTCCCGGATTGCTTGGATGGTCCTTTTCTTATGAAGTATGTCCCTATCACCTACTTTATCGACCTCTGTCAAAGGACAGTTAAAGTCACCGCCTAATAAAATGTTGTTAGTACTACCGCGGCGAATGGGATCGATGATTTTATCAAAAAAGTTAACTTGCTGGTTTTGGTCATTGGGAGCATAAATATTAACTACACACAAATTATCTTGATTAATATTCATGTTCGCGACAAGAAAACGACCATTTTTGTCCACAGTGATTTCCAGAATATCAACGTTTAGGGAAGGCTTAAACAATATCATTACGCCCTTACTGTGTTTGGAACCGTGCGCAAACAGGATTTCACCACCCCATTCTGCCCGCCACACATCCTCCAAGCTAGCATCGCTATAGGTTTCTTGTAAGAAAATTATATCAAATCTATTCAGATGGGCCACCGAAAGAGCCTCCTCCGTTTAATTGATTTATTGAGGCCCCTTATATTCAGCGAAACCGCCTTAAGGCACGTATGTTTCTGGTATCTTTAGGCATTCATTTTCGGGTTTATATGTGTTCCACACTGTGCAAATCATGAGAGTGTTTTGCCCAAGAAAAAGTTGCCGTTTAGTATTTTGGCGCATGCAAGTTACAATGCACAAAGGTGAAAAGCAATTGCAAAATAAAAGACAAAACATAAAAAGCGAAATACTTTGACAAAACATTTTAGCACATGTAACAAATGCGCATAAATTAAGCTGTAGAACAGCTTATTGTATAGGAAGGTTAAATATATTTTCCACTGTTATTTTAGCTTCACATTCTTTCTTACAGTTTGTCGCCTTTTGGTGTCGCAGTGCGTTTATCGTAGCTTCCGATTGGTTCGTTTTACCTATTTAAGATGCTGTTTTCAGTTTGTTCTCTCTCTCTCGCTTGCGACCTTAGTACTTTAGAGCTGTTTTCTGCTTCGGACGTTTTAGATCTCATCGAGTATGCCTTCTTCCGGAGACGCAGCAGAGGAAAACACGAGCACTCCTAGGTCTTTGGAGTGAGATGAATCGCCGATGGTCAACAAAGTTTTTTCAATGTTCAAAACATACTTAGAGTCTAAGCTAGACGAAACGACTAAGCAGCCCGAGTCGAAATCTAAGCTTGATAAGCAAGTGACTCCAATGAAGTTTAAAGGCAACCAGAAGCAGTTTGAGCTTAACGCTCAGATCGACTTCGTTTTCGATAGAATTCGCTCGGCTAACGATTCCGAAAATAAGCAAGTAGATTATTTGGTAGATGAAGGAAAAGAGCTCATTCGTAAGCGGCAGAAACTGAACAGAATTGCTGACAAGAGTGCTGATGGTTGGAAAGTGGTCGACGAATATGTTTCGGATGAGTTAGCGTCTGGCTCGGAGGACGAGAAAGGCTTAAAGAAAGCTAGTGAGGTAGCAAGCAGGAAAAGGAGACAGCCTAGACAAGGTTGTCGTGGACCAGACAAAGAGTTCAAAGGAACTTTGACTTCGACGGATCAGCAGCTTTTCGCGGTGAGCTAGCCTGTATTTTGATTTTCTTTTTGCGCTCTCTCAGTTCTTGTCTGATCTTTTTTGGAGTACTTTGTTTGTTCTC